AATTAGCACTTTTTACATGTATCACAAATATGAGAACAGCTTCCGATACCATGTTTTTGATTCTAGCAGCCAAACTGCTCTCTCTCTCTTTCTCACAATCTTAATGATTACCGTGAAGACGATAAAAGAGACATGTAGAAATATTATAAAAAATTACAAAATCATTGACCATCACTTTATGGATATATCCCTTTATTTCAACGTATTTTGTAATATTAAGCGTATATTTTCTCGCTTCTGACGGCATTAAGCAAGACGACTGCAGCGAGAGACCAGAAAATTTCCTTAAATTATTTTAAAAGCAATAATTGCAGCATATTTTTCAGATTTATATTTCATACAAACAAAAATATAATGTCTGCCTAATAGATATTTCAATAAGGGCGATATCGCGAAATTTACTGGTTCTCACAGATCCGGTGCGTCAAACTAAGCAGCAAAAAATAAGTATGTCAACGAAGGATTAATGAAATCAACTTAACACGCAATGCTAATAGATATTTAAAGCAATTTTTCCGAATAAAAATGCAGCCCCGCGTCAAAAAACTTTATTGCGTCATTACATTTCCAACTTGTATTCTCGCGAAGAATCAGCCCCTTTTGCAAATCGCACCATCACCGGTCCGATGACACTGTTTGCGCGTAAATCTCTTAAATAAAAATTTGTTGAGGGAACAACAGATACAAGGAACGAATGTTAAAGTTGCGACCTTTGAAAGCGCGTGACACCGTCGCTATATTTGCCACAATTGCCAATATCGAACGCCATTTGCAGTCGTATTGCTCGAGCAACCATATAAAGTCATATTCGTCGTCGTTCCTGCGCCGATCACGAAGATGGCTGTATTTACAGTGCACGCATCGATATGTACATATACAGGGTGTCTACTATTGCACCTAACGACAAGTTCAAGGTGTCAAAGTTTAATATACTGATGTCTGTCGTTAGGTACAACAGTTGTCGTATATTTGTAGATTAGGCCACTCTGAACGAAAAAAGTTCTTTACCATTTTGCAAATAACACGCAAATTGTTGAGTTATTAATTAAAGAAGCCTCAATACATGGCTATTTTCAATCATTGATAACTCGAAATTTTGCATGTTATTTGCAAAATGGTGTAGGACTTTCCTACTCAGTTCTACCCGTTCTACTTGCACACCACGGCAACCGAGATTAGTTTGGGACACCCTATATATATTATATTGTAATATATTACGCTGCTTTCACACGCTTATAAGTCCCGCGTGTTTTGTTAATATAAGCTCCTTCCGGACTCTTTTCGCGATCGATACACCGGGTCGTAATCAAACACGGAGCGTTCCCGCGCTTCTAACAGGAACCCGGGTCTACGAAGTTTCCCTATAACTTACAACTAGTATGTGCGCACGCGCGCAGCCCTTCGCATTTATTTATTTACGCTCGCAAATATTTACAAGGAGCAGAGCGGACGAGCGAATTAATGCGGAATATATCTATTTGTCCGATGTGTATATCCGGGCGAGAGAAGCGCTGTGAAGCGAAGACCGTGCGCCGACCGTTAATCCTAAAAGCGCTTCCTCCACTTTACCGCTTTTCGACGTTTTGATATATGAGCGAGGAAGTGGGGAAAAAGCTAACTGCCAAGCCCCCTCTGTATATCCTAATATTAACGGAAAGCTTTCTCCATTAATATCGCGCGTACCGACCGCGTCGTGTACCGGCCAGGTTTCGATCATAATAAAATTTTTACCACGTTTCGACTTTTTGACATACGATCAAAAAAAAAAAGGGTAGCAGAGTGGGAGGGAGGAGATCGCGGGGAGGGAGAGGGCGAAAGGAGTCTGCCATATTTCACGTCACCCGCTTTTCTCATAAAACTCGTAGCCGTCCGATGCGGCCAAGGGGGTCTGACAGATTCATCAACGGTTGGATTTATTTTTTTTTTCGGCCTCGCCGCGAGTTCCGATCCGTCGCGCGGCCGTTCATGATTTCCCATCGCGTCCTCCCACCTAAATCTTAGAAAATATCACCGGGCGTTACGCGGAAAGTGAGAAACTCGTTTCCCGAACGGCGTAATAAATTGCCGCAGCGGCGGTGGTAGTCAGCCAGCCAGCTCGAATGCAACCAACGCGGAAAAGTCATGCCGCGGGAACTCACGCAAAACGGTGCGGCAACGCGGATGTTGAAGTGGTAGCAACCTTTTCGTCTCGGGCCACGGATCTCTACGTGCGGTTTCAGCCATTCCTCCGGTCGTACACGTTTGACACGCCGGTCTTTCGGCACTGCGAAACAAACCGTCGACATTTCCGTCCCGAGGTGAATGCGCTGAAGTATTGTGCGACGTAACGTCGCGATAAATTCGCGAGAGTCGCGCGGGGGAGACTAAATGTCAATACATTTAATTAGTGTATAGGTTATATAATAATAAATCACGTCCACGAACAAGGTGGCAATGTTTCTTCAATCCGGAGAAAACTACGTTACTTAAGGGCACCCCTAATAAATCATGATGCTGACATATAAAAATGTTTTTATCTCAAAAACGGTTGAGCTTTCGACCTATGTTCGCTAAGGTCTTTTTACTCGGTATGGTGTGTACCATCTACCACGTAAATATAGAATAGTTTTTTTCGAACACCCCGTATATATCACAAGTTGAAACCATATTTAAACTTGCATGTCATTAAATGGTGCGTTTCAATTATATTCGAGTAGTTGAGACCTTTGCATAAATTAACGCGATTAAAACGTAAGCGGGAATGTAAAACGGATTAATATGTAACGTGATTGAAGCTCCAAATGTTGGGGCTTTTCAACGAAATCAAATTTTCACAATTATAACTTACACAATACTCACTTATGTCAGGAATTTATCAGTTACACTTTCACGAGGAAATTACTCGGTCGAGACATTTACCGCGGTAATTTCTTCGGAGAATCGCAGGGATCCCCGCGCAGGGGACGTCACGAGACAACGTTCCTCCGGTGTACCGCGCGGGAATTTGTCGAACGTAACGTTATCGCGTGTCGCGCTATTAATACACCGTTTTCCCGGACATCACCGCGCATCCATCACTCGAGCGGCCTTTAAAAGGATATGTAATTTCACCCCGGCTATTCGGTCCCTTCCGTCGTATTTAGTCATCGGGGGCCCACTCGAAGCGGTCGAGAAGGCTGATACCGCCGATATGCGCCGTATATAACCCGTCTATCCCTGTTTCATTACCCGACACAGAGCGGAGAGAGGAGGAAGGAATGCGTCTCCCGGCTCCGGTTAACGACGTCAAACTTAACTGCCACGGACCCGCCGGTTTGCAGCAGCGCACGGCGGCCGTGCGGGAACTGTAAGATCTAAGCGTCGACGATGGAAATACGTTTGGGAAATTAAGGTGCGAAATTAATATCCGCGGTGACGGGGAGCGCGGTCGATACGATTTCGCGCGGTGTCTCTCGCGGCAGTGATCGCGCTAACGATGACGAATCACGCACTGATCAGTAGTTGGCCGAAAATCCGCGAAACATTTTTTCCGGGGCTTTTCCCAACGGGGCCCCCCCCCCCCCCGAGAACGGGAGATTGCGATGCGAAAGAAGCATTCGAATTAATGCTTTTTGTCGCGAATATCCCCGCTCGCTCATTCACTCGGCGACAAATGGAATATCGCACTGGGAGCACCGCCGATTAATTAGGAGCTGTCCAGGCGAGCGTGATAAATAGGTTGCGTAACGGGATCATTAAGACCTCCGACCGAACTTGTAGCGCGATGTAATTAACGCATTATTCCGCCGCTCACCTGTAAATAATTCCGATATAATGGTTTCGGGCCCCGAATAGAGCGGTCTCTCGCTCGCGTGCGCGCAGGCATGCGAAACCTTAAAGACCGGAGGAACAATTTCGGCACCGATCACGGACGGTGATTCGATCGAGCCAATATCGCGGGTCGTGAAAGAGAGAAAGCGGCTCGTCGTCGGCGACCGGTCGGCTCGCCGAGATTATGCCGAATTCCCGTTAATGCGAGCGGCAAATTGTTTTTGCGAGCCAGCATGAACTTCTCGGCTCGGTTAGCCGCGCTAATTTCGACATTGTATTCGCTTTAAGTCATGGGATCACAAACGTTCGCTGAGCGCGTGAACTACGGTAATCTGTGTACAGTGGGACTTGCGAACACCTGTTCCGTTTCAACGCCGAGTGTAATTAGTCAATTAGCCGCGTAACGTTACGAACCGCGAGGATCTTACGCGTATTAGTGAATTCGCTCGGTACCACCAGTGTGGTTCAAGCGGTTCTTCTCTCGATTTTTCGACTTGTCGATTGCACACGTCGATATGTGCACGCATTCCTATAGATTGTTACACGCAGAGAATTTTCCTCGTAGATATGAATGTTCATGAATCGAGGAAATATAATAGTGGTCCTGCCCGGTTAAGATATTAAGGAGAAGCATCGCAACCGACGTGCCATTTTGTTTTTGCGCCCTAAAACCCCGCCGAAAATTAAATTTTATATGAATAGGTACAAACCAGCAACATTCTTTACCAAAGTACAAAATAATAATAATAAGATAATTTTTAACAAATTATTACACATTTCTTTGCAAATAACTATTTTTAAGATTCTTGGGGATTGACGCGTCTAGAAACTGTAGTGGTCTGTGAAAAGAATGTGCTTTGTTCAAATTTGAACGTAAGTCTCATCGATCGCCGTTTTATATTTTACTTTCAATCCCATATTCACTTGTATTTTGAGAGCCTTTCTGATTTTTATTTTACCGCACAAATTGTAGTCATTTTCGGTGTCAACTATATACTTTGTTGCTCTAATAAAGAATTAACAGCAATGTTCATACAAAGTTATGTTTAATGACGTTATAGTAACATTTATTATAAAAATGGGTTTCCTGAATTAACTGTAATTATTTTACAATACTGTTGTGTCGCAGGTATTATTTGTTTCAATACACAGCACTCTTAAAGGATCACAATTTGACCGTGCTGAATAAAATATTTAAATTTTTGTTTCAGCTGTTCCACAGGAGATTTCTTGAAGCTATTTTTACACCTGGAGAGTAAGGGCGTTTCCGAGTACACTCCTTGGGCCGGTGTGCTTTGTGGGGAATTGCGTGACATCCCGCAAGTACTTTACAGTTCAAGATCGACGCTCATTCTAGAGTTTCATACGGAGGGTCCACCGTCTAATGCCACTGGCTTTTCCGGCACTTTTCGTTTTATCGACAGACGTGAGTTGAAATTATGCTGTATGATCAATTCTTTTATTCCTTAAGCAGCGGCGATAACTTTCTCAGCTTCACGTTAAAGAGGAGGGGAAAAAGCAGCTTGATAACTATCCTGCGAGGATAATAGAAGAATCGGCGATAAAATGTGAAATTCCTTGCATACCCGAACAAACGCATCTGAAATCTTCGATAAAACTTCCCGACGCTGGAAACGCGCCGAACCATTAATATCGATCGTCAAAAGTGACGTTTCCGCTTTTGAGAATCGAAGCCGTTCGATATTCCCGGTTTGAGAAGAGTTTACGATAGGAAATAAACCAGATTAAGACTGACGGTATTTTTAATGAAAACCTTCCCGTTGCTTCGTCTGAAGTGGAAAACTCGTTCGGCTCGTACGCGCGCGCAAGAGAGAGAGAGAGATAGGGAGAGAGCGTCCACTCAACCTCCACTTATCCACTTGCTGCGTTTATCGAGAAATTTTAGGTTTCGTTTTATGAAACTCTTTCGAGTTCGCTTGTAAGTCGACCCGATCGGGAAATCATTTCGAAGCGTTATTGCATCGTGTAATGTGCCAAACCGGTCTCTGTGACCCAGCAATCAACATAGAGCGCGTGAACCGCCCGAAGGGAAACCGAATCGCGACAGCCAGCGGCGGGGCCGCTGCCGAATTTAATAGCGCGAATCGCTAACAAGATCCCGGCAACAAGCGGGCACAATGGCGAGCGATCCGCGGTTTCCCGCGATTTCCAGATAAAAGTCGCGAATTCGCATGCCGGTTGCAGAGACATACAGCGGTCTCTGGGAATTTCCGCAGCTTTTAAACCGACGGTTCGTTAGTAA